TTTCATCTAGCGTTGTTATATTAAACATTTCAGACTAAGTTACTATCTTGTAAGCACAATAAACATTTGTAAACCTATTTCTTTAGCATATAATATTGTACTTTATCACTACATTATAAGTATCTACAACTAATGTTATATCCTAAAAACAATAGGTTTACAAATGTGTATTGTGCTTACACGGTCGTAACTTAACGCATCTATAAATTATTTATTGGCCATCTATAAGGGGAGCCTTATTGTAAAGTGGTACCTGACATTTTTACATTTTTTACATGTGTTTATGTTAATATTTTACTGTTTGTTTTTATTTCCTCTCCACAGTTGTCCAAGTTTCTGCAGGCGATGCAGCAGCAGTATAATCTTATTCATGTGAAAGAACTCACCAAAGGTGTGGAGAGCATTGTGGAGGTGGACTGGAAAAATCCACAGTGAGTCAAACCCAATCTCAGTTTAAATAAATAAATGTTTTTATATTTCAGTCTCACAATTCACCCACATTGATCTGTTATTTTTAAAATCACTTTAAACTTTTGTAGACTGCGTTCCTTCAGCATTCCAGAGGAGGCAGATGCTGAGTCATCTGTGCTGCAGGATGAAGCAGACAGAGAAGTCTCATACCACCCTCCAGAGATCACCACTCTGTATTCAGTTTCTGTTCGAGTGGAGCCGTTGTTTTTGGATGCAAACAAGAGGTTTGTGCGTGTCTGCGTGTGCACGTCAGTCTGTTCTCATACTCTTCGTGTTGCCAGATGTTTGCCTGGTTCAGACAGCAGGTAGTCGGAGCAGCAAGAGGTGCTGCTTGTGTTTATTTAAGATGAGATAGATACTCCGGCGCCTTGGCAGGGAGGCCTTTAACGTTTGTTTAAATTGACCTTCAACCTCTGAAGAGACGAGTCGATGTTCTCATGATACAAGTCGGATAAATTAGGCGCTGAGAGCACTCCTCTGTTTGCTTTTGTTGTAGTACTTAGTACTACAGTATTACATTACATAAAGTATAATACTTTATGTAATGTCCCTTTTTACAGGAAATACCAGCTCTTATAAAACCACGAAGAATACTTAAATAACTCTATTACTCTAATTTCCTTGTAAATAAATAAATATATTATTAGACGGATCAGCTAAAACATTTACACATCAAATTTTATTTTATGGTAATTTTAAAACTTTGATTATTATTTTGGTTTGTTTATGTTTAGATTTTCACATTAAGTCGGCTATATTTATTGTCCGCTGCTGAAAGGTGACAGGTGGGCAACAATGTTGTGTGTGTGTTTATCTAATGAACCACTGAATACGTTATATACATATATATAACTTTATATATAATTTATATTTCAGAGCACTACCTCTTGGCCAGTTAAAACAAGTTTGTATTGTTCAAGGATATGTTTTTCAATAAAATAATCCTGGAAAATTGAAGGTGTATTGTTACCTTATAACACCTGACAGTGTCACTTACTTAATAAGTATAATAAGTATAAATAAGTATAAATACTTATACGTATCGGCAAGTCAGACTTTTTAGAAATCGGTGATCGGCCAAAAAACTGCAATCGGTGCACTCCTAATATGTGTGTGTGTATATATATATATATATATATATATATATATAT